CACACACACACACACACACACACACACACACACACACACACACACACTTGAAGATTCTTGTAGGACAAGGAACTGGGCTGGGATCAGAAGGCTGAAGAGAGAGAGGATGGATTCTGGAATCTTCAGAATAAATGGATTTGGAGAGCTGTGAAAGGGACAGATGCCAGCTCACTGGAAATTTTAGAAAACTGGTCTAACAGTGATAGACTCTCTCTGTCTCTGCCAAAAGGACTTGGAAGGCAGAGACCCCATGTCTTGACTTCTCAGTGTGTGTAATGAATGTATGTTTATGGATGACTTTAACCAGAAATTGAGAGAACAAGGCACTCTGGGACTGAAAGCATATGGGACTCAGTGGGTGTGGGAGATGTGAGAGTCTTCAGGGTTCTAGATAAAAAGGTTAGGGTCTGGTGTTGGGCAGAGCCTAACGATTCACATGAGGGGTGAGAGTTCTAATAGCATTCAGGCATGAACTCTTCATCACCAGGAGTGTGTAAATGGGGATGTTCTGTGTCTAGGAGGGTTGAAGATGGATTTTCCAACCCAGGGAATTACTAGTAGGAGAAATCTTAGCTTAGTTTAAATTAGGGCCCTGTGGGTGTCCAGGTAGGCTGGAGGAAGATGGGTTTTCTGAGCATTCCCCACTGCTAGTGGCATCTGAAGCAGCCCATTTCGTTGTTTGGTAATTTCAGACATACACTTATCCACCCCCACTTCTTCCCCTCCCATTTTTTTCTATACTTCCCACCACTTTTCTCTCCCAACTTCAGTACTGTTTTTCAGTGTCTTCCTCTCTGACCCCCTTCTCTGCCTCCCTCTTCCTCTCTCTTCTCTCTTTCCCTTTTATGGTTTCTCTCTTTTCTCACTCTTCACCCATTTCTCCTTTAGAGGACTTTCCTCCTGATGTCACTACTTTTGCCTTTGAACCTGTTGTGTTAAGCCCCCTTTGGGGGTCCAATGACACTTTCACAGGAATCACTTAAGGCATTGGAAAACACAGATATTTACATTATAATTCATAACAGTAACAAAATTAAAGTTACAAAGTAGCAACAAAAATAATTTTATGGTTGAGGATCACTACAACTTGAGGGACGAAGGGTCGCAGCATTAGGATTGTTGAGAACCTCTGTGTTAAAGTCCAAGCTCTCGTAGTCTCTCGAACGTGAAGGTGCTGCCTCCTGGTGGGAAGAACAGAAAGTGCCTGCTTTCTGCTTGGCAGCCTGGCAGATTTAGGGTAGGCCTCAACCCCTTGCTAGAATGTATTATTAGCCTGGTCCTGCCTTCTCCTTTTGTCCCTTCCACCCCCTTCCCTTCTTTCTTTTTCTTCTTAAAAATTAATATGTTGTGTTTTCATAAAAAACTAGCATACATGTTTTAGCTTATTATATTTTATTTCCTTATGTTTGTTCTTACCTCTTAGAAGCCTGTTCTTTCCTAATGGGAGACAGAAAGGGAGTGGAGGGCTGGAGAGATGGCGAGGGAGGGTTGGATCGGGAGGGGAGGAGGGAGGGGCTTATGGGGGGATACAAAATGAATAAAGTGTAATTAATAAAAAATAAAAAAACAATATATCAAAATTAAAAAAAAAAGAAAGGGAGTGGATCTGGATGGGAGAGGAGGTGGGGAGGAATTGTGAGTAGACGGAGGAGAAACTGTGATCAGGATATGTCAGATGAGAAAAGAATCTGTGTTTAACAAAAGGGGAGAAAAGAGTTAAAAAAGAAAAATTAGCATGCAGAGTAATATTTCCTTAGGGCATTTTTATAGTTAGTTTTGGTTGATTCCCCACCTGTATCCGTCCCTCCTTACCTGTTTGTAATCTTTTATTCAGGCATAAAAATAAAATTGTGAAATTTGTAGGGAAATGGGTAAAACTGGAAAACATACTAAGTGAGGTAATCCATTTAGGTAATATTTAGAGTTCTTTCCTGTGCACCCCTGCTTTCTGATGGCAAACTTATGAAACAGGTTAGAGTGTTCCAGCAATAAGCACATTTATTCTGGGGAAATTACCATGTAAGAGTGAGAGACAGAAAAGGTGTGTATGTGTGTGTGTGTGTGTGTGTGTGTGTGTGTGTGTGTATGTGTGTGTGTGTGAGTCTGATGGGTGTGGGGCAGTTTCTAGTGGAAACAATAGTGCAGTCTTGAGCAGTAGGGACCATCTAAGGTTTGGCATCTTTGGTGAGAGGGGGATGGGATGGAGGGAGAAAAATTATAAGAGAATTTGATTACAGGAACATGAGGGGGAGGTCTGGAGAGATATACCATGATGGGAAGGGTATAGTTTTAGGGATGAGTTTTGGATCACAGGGGATCCTTTAGCAGGTCATTTAAGGGATACTTGTGAGGGTGGTGAATGGAGATTTAGTATTCATGTGTGGAGTCTAGAGAAAACAAAGGAGGAGGGTTTGCATCTGGTTAGCTAACAGTGAGTGGCCAACACTTCTTCCACCCCTCCTATCTTCCAGTGTGGATAAATTAGTGCAGCTTTTGTCCCTCATCAGAATATTCACTTTGCAGTGAATGACAGTCAATAGAGAGATCCTGCAGATGATCAGATTGCAGAGACAGAGTAAATGTGGGAGTTCTCAGCTCTAGATCTACATCTCACTAGTCCTCAGTGACTCAGAACCTTGCAGAAGAGGGGGCAGAAAGATATTAAAAAATCAGAAGTTGGGGAGGACTGTCAGAAAATATTGTCTTCAGGACATGTGAGGGCCATTGCATTTATAAATGTAGAGCGGCTGTGGTTGTCTGAACAAGAGACCTATGCAATAATGAACTATTTGACATTCCTGCATAGATAGAGGCAGGGGCTCATGTAGCACCACTACTAAGTTGAGGAGCTTTGGATAGGGAGAATGAGTTGTTCAGGAACGTTTTCCCTTTTAGAATGCCTATGTGACAGTGGGTGGCCCTATACTCACGTGGAAATGGCCAGGACTGACCAAGTGGACTTGGTGGGCTATGAAAAGAAGTCATGAGGTTCATGAGGTTGGAAGGAGGATGTAGCGTAGGGGCTCTGGGAGACACTGAAGAGGAAATGGAGGTGGTGGTGGATAAAATGAAGACACATTATGTACATGCACTAAATTCTCAAAGAACAAATTAAGGAAAAAAAAAGACTGTAAGGGACGATCAGAAGTGTGTTTGAAAGGATAGAAAATAAGGTTTCAGTCATGGAGGGTGAATAGAGTTGGAGTATTCCTGGAAAAGTTCTGGGATGTGGAGTGTAGACCATCTTATGAAGACTTTTTGGGGGAATGGTTTGGAGGGGTTGAGGAATTACATCAAGGGATGACTTAAGGTGGTGTAAGAGTCCACAGACATTTGGGGAAATCTTCCCCCGGCCCTCTCTCTCTGTGTGATTAGTATGTCAGATTCTGAGGTTATCTTGGGAATGTGTAAATATGTCTGTGTGATTTACCCAACCTGAGGAGGATGGTATGGATGGTAGGTAGGGTAAAGATACCTGGAAGGTGGGTTGACAGAACTAAAAAAAAATGATACGATTTTAGGGTTTATTAACAGGAAAACATTTTTAAGGGATTAGAATTAAGGTATCTGAGGGGAAAGGTCATGGATACTTTAGGGTAGTTTCCAGTCAGGGATTTTTGGAGGAGAAGATATCAAGGGTGTGAGGAGTTGAAGATAGGAGGTAGGGGTTGAGGGTTAAGATGGAGGTGGGCTAGTGGTTTAATGAGAACATGCACCATCTGGGTGGGTCCTAAAGCATGGGATAGAGCTGAAAGATGACAAAACTGAATTTGCTTGGCAAGAAAGCTTTACTGCCCTTCGCCCTTCCCACCTTGTCCCATGTTAGTAGCATTTTCGGTATACGACCTGGGGTCCCCTTTCTTCATACTGTTCCCGGAGGACCCAGCAGGACTGGAAGGCATGCAATGAGGCCAGAATGGAGCCCCCAACCCACACGGAGAGGTTCCTGTTGGGTTGTGCCGTCACTGCCACGTGGTCCTCAGGGGACAGAGAGCGAAGTAGCTCTGCCTTGAAGCGACTCTCCAGGCCTGTGAAGAGTGAAGAGCCTCCACACAGGAGTACGTTTTGGGCCACGTGGGTCCGCAGCTCTGGAGGCACCTTGAGGAGGCTCTGTTTAGCCATGGCTGGGAGGCCCATGGGCGACAGTCCTGGAATCTCTGGAGGATGGAACAAGAGCTCTGGGCACTGAAATAATTCCTTCCCCAGGGTGACAGTCCGTCCATCGGGCAGCTTTAGGGTCTGCTTGCACTCCTGATCCAGACGGGCCTGTTCTTTTTGGAAATCTGAGGCCACATAGCAGTAACTATGTTTGATGTTCTCCACCATGTCCAGGTCCTCCTGTCGCAATGAGAAGCCAGAGCCCAGCAGCATCTCTGCTAGGAAGGCAGTTAGATGGTTGCCGGCCAGGTCCAAGCATTGGATGGCATGTGGTAGGTTGTAGCCCTGAACAACTGGCACTGTATAGCTGGCTCCATGGCCAGTGTCCACAACAAGTCCATTAACACGTCCGTGGGCATAGACTGACAATACGGATTGATACGCCACATATATGGCCGGGGAATGCAGAGACTCGAAAACCACTTCTACCAGCTTCTCTCGGTTGGTGGCAGGGCTGAAGGGTGGATCTGAAAACAGCAGAGGGTGGTCCTGGGTGGCCACTCGGAGGTCATGTTCCAGGATGTGCCGCCATATTAATTCAGCAGCTTCCCAGTCAACCACAATACCATTGCGAATAGGCTTCACCAACCTTAGCTCTGGGCGGGAGCGGGCTGCCTCCCCAATAAAAGTTTCCAGCTCTGATTGGCCTTTGGTAGCCTGTTTCTTGGCCTGGAAACCCAGGATGGTGGCCACCGTGTAGGTAGGTTGGGATTGGCCCGCAAAGCCCACCTTACAGGTACCTGTGCCCATGTCAATAACCACAGCACCTGTTTTTGGTGGGTGTCTGTCACCTGCTGTACTGAGGGAAGCGTGCTGTGGACTCTTGTTCACTAGGAGTGTGCTAGAGTTCAGGGCAGGAGGCCCAGGAGTCTCTGGGGAGGGCTGGGGCTTTGGGCGTCCATTGACATCCATGACTGCATGTGATCTGGTGAGGCTGCCTGACAAGGTGCACCTCTTTTCTCTGGGGTGCCAGTAGAAAAGGCTGATCCTTGCCCAGGATGACCAGAAAGAGAGAAGATGGAACAGTGGTCTGTGACATCACTGTGCCTGCCTTTGCTTCACAATGGAGGCATATAGTGGGTTGAGATGGGGTGAGGTAAGGAAGGCAGGGAGAAATGACTTGTATGGACTTTATCTAGAGAAATGTTTATTTACCAAATATGGAGTGAGAAGAGATTCTACTCAAGTCTATCTTGGTCAAACAGTGAGTTTAGCTGGGGTTACTTACAGGAGTGTGGGTGAGGGTTTATTTACAGGCACATGGTAATGCTATACCTAAAGGGTAAAAATATCTCCAGTTGGCAAATCCTGATACAGAAGCTTCCCACATTCAAAGATATCTACTCAGGAAGATGGTTTCTATCTGAAACCCAGACTGCAGTGCTCAGGAATACCCATTACTATAAATGGTCCTTATCTGAAACTGCAGAGGCAGAGCCAAGACCAATACATTTTCCACCAGATCCCACCTTGATAGGCACTTCCCACTTCAAACCCTACAAAACCTCAAGCACCTGTGCCACAGAATACAACATCCATTTCTATGGAGAGGGTGTAGCCTCTCAGTGTTCTAATTAAAGGGCAGTCTCCTGTCAAGGTAGGAGTTTTTGCCACTTCATCCCAGTCTGAATCTAACAATACCAGTGTGTGTGTGTGTGTGTGTGTGTGTGTGTGTGTGTGTGTGTGTGTGAATGTCTCCTCCAGCAACTGTTAACTTTCTATATAATCTTGGAAAAGGGTGTGACCTCCTGAGCCCCCACTCATAGTAACAGCTAACTGCTTTTTGGGGGAGAGATCAGACTTCCTGAGTACTCCTTAATAACCATTAACTGTCAATAAATCCCCAGGGAGGAGTACAGTGGCCTTGTGAGCATCAACTCTGTAATGAACAGTCAATAGGTCCATTTTTTTTTGTAGGTATCCTGTGTGTAATCAGAGCTGAAAGGTCATGTCATGCCAGAGGGTAGTGTTCCGCTGCAGGCCCCAGAGCCATCATTTATGACTACCCTTGAAGAGCCCACTTTGCAAAAGAAGGCAGGGTCTTTGACTCAGTGTCTTCATTGCAGATTCCTCTCTCACTCACAATCTTACAACTTAGAGTCCTTTTATGGGTACCTTGCCCAGTCAGCCAAGAACATAAATTAGAAGGAAACAGGGCAAACTGACTGGCTGACTTTCTTCTTTCTGTTTCTTCTGTTCTTTAAGGTTTTTATTTTCCATTTGTTTATTGATGTGTGTGTATGTACACACACACCTAGTCTGCTAGTGGTTACACAATGTGTGAAAATGACACCCTTTCCTCTAGCAACAATTAACAATTCATTAATTACTCAGGAAGAGATGTGACCTCATGGGTACTTGCTCTATCCATTGTGGAAAGTTGGAGGTCCTAAGCTTGTTCATGTTTGCATAGCTGCTGTGTGTTCATGGTTACAGCGGTAATGTCATAACTGGATGGCAGCGTTTCATGACACTCTTCCCTTATTCCCTAGATCTTGATTTGTCCTTCTTTTTCAGTGATCCCTGCTACTTGGGTGGGGATAGGAGGACATTGCTGTCCTGTTTAGGACTGAGCACTCACCAATTACTTATTTTCTGCACTTTGACTAAGTAAGAGTCACTGCTTTCACCTTCACACTCTGCACAAAGGAGCCTCTCTAGATCAGGCTGAGAACTGCCCTGCTCTGTGGGTATAGACATAAATATTTAGAAGGAAGTCTCCCAACACATCTGTGTAGGCAAAGAGCAGCGAGATGTTGGCTTCTTTGTGCCCTTCTCAGCTGTATGCTCTGTACTGAGTTCACAGTATTCCTGTGTTGGAGAGGAATTTTGTTCATTTTTGTTTGTTTTCTGAAAGTCCATATCAATCAGGAACACAGTAAGTAAAAACACCTCATTTTTCCTTTTCAAAGACAGATTTCTATTACAGTTGTAAATTTTGTAATAGAGACTGAGATGGCTCAGCGTATAAGAGCATTAGTTCTTACAGAGGACTTGGGCTCCTGACCCTGTTTGATGGTAGCTTAATAACCATCCTTAAAACTCCAGTTTCAGGGGATCTGATGACCTCTTCTGACCATGTGTTTCACAGACATACATGTGGAGAAAATATTTGTACACAGAAAAGAAAAAAATTGTAAATTGTATAATAGCTGAAAGACATTGGGTGAACACACAGGCCAGGACTCGCAGCATATGTGAATCAGTTCCCTCTTTCACTGTACATCCCAGGGATCCAACTCAGGAAGCCAGCTGCCATCAGCAAGTTCTTGGACCCGCTGAGCCATCTCACTTGCGCAAGAAGAAACAATTAGAATTTTTCTATTGGTCTCACATTATCTATAGGTTTGTCACAATCTTTATTTTGTTGAGCTATGCACCTTCTATTCTCACTTTACAGCCTTCTATTTCCAACAAAAGGAAGGAATGTTGAATTTTGTCAAAGGTATTTTCTGCAGCTACTGAGATTATCATGTGATTTCTTTCCTTAACTCTGTGTGCTGCATTACATTTATTGATTTGCATTTGTTGAGCCAACCATGTATTACTGGGTTGAAATTAACTTTATCATATTTTAAAGAAAAAAAGAAGATTACATCTTTATTTATTTACTTTTTTTGGTAGGAGAGTCTGCAGAGCAAATGCAGAAGAGAAGACAACAGATTGAAGTCTAGTCTTTCATTCCATCATCTGGGGCCCAGGAATCTAATCTAATCCAGGCCATTCATCAAATTTAGTGGCAACCACTTCTGACTGTGCCATTTTGCCAGTTCCACTGCACATGATCTTAAAATGCTTTAAAAATATGTATTTAGGAAAACAGCTAATAGTATGATTCCTCATGACTTTCAGACCCCTTCACTATTATTGTATCACCCTCCCTGTTTCTTCTGTATTTGTCTCCTTTCATCTTCTTAAATAGAACCCCCTTCCCATTTCTTCAGTTAGACCACTTCTTCCTTCCTTTGCCTTCTATATTGCTGCTCCAGGCCTCTACCCTGGCCACAATCACTTTTTAACTTTCCTGATTTCTGCAGTTCCTCCAGGCTATGTATTCACATCTGAAGATTTGAAACTATGAACCCCAAATTAGAGAACATGGGATTTATTTATCTTTCTGGGTCGGGGTTACTTCACTCAATGTGATCTTTTCTAGTTTCATCCATTTATCTGGAAAGTTTATGATTTAGTATTCCATAGTGCATGCGTACCACATATAGATCTGGGACCTGAGCAGAGAGTTTTCAAAAGAAGAAAAGTGGCTAAAGAAACACCTCAGAAATAATGTCATTCCCAGAAATTAGGGGAATGCAAATCAAAACAACTTTGAAATTTTATCTTACCTTCTTCAGAATAACCAGCAACCATTTCACAACAAATGATGAAGAGAATGTAGGGGAAAGGGATAGTTTTCATTATTCACTTGTTGGCTATGAATGATTCAGATTGTTTACATTCCCTAGCTATTATGAATAGAACAGTAATGAATGTGGCTGAGCAAGTGGAGTAGGATGTTGAGTTCTTTGGGCATATGAAAGGAGTGGTATAGTAGGGTCATGTGATAGACCAATTTTTAGCTTTTTGATAATTCTTTATACTGAATGTCATGGTGGCTGGACTAGTTTGCAATTATACCAGCACTGAATGATGGCTCCCTTTTCCCAACATCCTTGTTGTCAGTGTCAACAGCCCCACAGCTCATCGAAACAACTTTTGGGCTTGCAGAGTGCTGGCTCAGACCAGGCAGTGAAGGGTATATATTTGTCATTCTCTGGGCATGGCTCTGTTTTGCCATCTTTCTTTCTAATTTCATTAGTCCACATTTTAAAAGCATTTTTTTCACAAGACTTGTTTTTTTTTTTTTTTTTTTTTTTTTTCTCCCTTAGTAGTTCTGGAGCTATTGCTGGTCCTGGAGACTACTTTTCAGCCTCTGTGTCACCCCTTGGAGCCTCCATAGGTCTCTCTGATTCCTCTGATCTTCGGAGAAGGTGCCTGCAGCCACTGCCATCTTTCCTTCTTCCCTTATTGAGCATCAGCAATATTGGCCTGTAGCTTTCTTTTTTCTTTTTCTTTTTTTTAAATTAAAAATATTTTTAGTATCATTTTTTATTTATTACAGTTTATTCACTTTGTATCCCAGCTGTAGCCCCACCTTTGTTCCCTCCCAATCCTGTCCTCATTTCCTCCCTGATCTCCTCACATGCCCCTTCTCCAGTCCACTGATAGTGGAGGACCTCCTCCTCTTCCATCTGACCCTAGCCTATCAGGTCTCATCATAGTCTTCCTCTGTGGCCTGGTTAGGCTCCTCCCCCCTCAGGGGGAGGTGATCAAAGAGCCAGCAACTGAGTTCATGTCAGAGACAGCCCCTGCTCCCCTTATTAGGGAGTCCTTTTGGAGACTGACCTGCCACAGGCTACCTCTGTGCAGGGAGTCCAGGTTATCTCCATGAATGGTCTTTGGAGTATCAGTCTCTGAAAAGATTCCTGGGCCTAGATTTTTTGGTTCTGTTTTTGTGGAGCTCCTGTATTCACCAGGTCTTTCTGTCTTCCCCTTCTTTCATAAGACTCCCAGCACTCTGCTCAAAGTTTGGCTATGAGTGTCAGCATCTGCTTTAATACCCTGCTGGGTAGAGTCTTTCAGAACTCCTTTGTGGTAGGCTTCTGTTTTGTTCCTTATTTTTATCTTCTTCTGATGTCTATTCCTTTTGCCTTTCTGAATGAAGATTGAGCATCTTACCCAGGGTCCTTCTTCTTGCTTAGCTTCTTTAGGTGTACAGATTTTAGTATGTTTATCCTATATTGTATGTCTAATATCCACTTATAAGTAAATATATACCATGTGTGTCTTTCTGCTTCTGGGATAATTCACTCAGGAGGATCTTTTGTAGGTCCCACCATTTGTCTGCAAATTTC